TAAAAAAAAAAAAAAAAAAAAAAAAGCGAGGCACAGATTGGCTACATGACTTGTCCAGCATTCCAACTGGGGCCATCTAGTTTTGGAGACCTCAGCTTGCCCACCGTGGTACACTGTCCATTGACATGTACTAGTGCCGTTTCAGCTGTAAATGCAGACTGAAGGAGTGCCAGAGAACTCTTGCCCTGCATTCTCATGGTCCTACATAAACCAAAGACTGAGAGAAGGAGGGCTGCTCACCAATTACTTTCTAGCCAGGGGCCAAGTGGGTTCTCCAAGCATCTGTTCATAGCCCATGTCTCTTCTTGTCTTCTCCTGTTTTTCAGACATGCAATGAATGTTCACATTCAGGCTTTTGAGCTTGCCATTTCATCCACCTGGAACACTCTTCATCAGATCTGCCCATTGATGGGTCCTTCTGATTATTTAGGTATGAGCCCAAAGGGAAAATTCTGGAAAGGGTTTTCCTGATGGCTCTTTCAACTGTGACTGTGTCTTTGCCACCCTCTCGCTTTCACTCAGGACTAACTCATTCTCCTGTTTTGTTTTGGTTTCAACTCACCTGACCTCACCAAGACATTCCATACTATGAAAAAATCATCTTATTTATCACCAATTTACTTGCTAATTTTTGTGTGTTTCCACTGGACTGTCAGCTTCTGGACAGCAGAGATCTCATCTGTTCTGTTCACTCCTGGATGTTTGGACCCTGGAACAGTATCTGGCACACCATGGGATTCTCAGTTAGTGTTAAATAAACCATTGATGAATGAATGAATGCGATGTCCTTTGTCAACCCATGCAAAGGCGGAACTAGCTGGGTCTTCCTGCCACCTTTTTACAGCCATTTAATTTTCAGGAAGAGACCAGCTCTTTGTTTTTGTCAGTCTTTTAGATACTAGAGGAGTTGCAAATAACTAGAGCAGATGGGTGAGAGGTTTCTAATCCTTTGTTTGAGCAGAGAAAGACCAACACATTCAGCTACTGTGATTGAAGACTGCTCTCCCTTCAGGGCTATGTGTAGGTAATGGCTAGACAGCTCTTGCCCTGAAGGGAAACTGAAATACAAAAATCTCAGCCTTCCCCCTTTTCCCTCTCCTTCCCTTCCTCTTTTTCCTTCTCCATCTCCAACTCACTTCCTTCTCTCGAGTTCCCCCATCTCTTTTTTTGTTCCTCTTCCTTCACTTGCTGTGTAGGAAAGCACGAAGAAAGTGGGAAACCATGTTCTTTGCATCTAATTGCAGCACTCACATTACTCTGATTACCACTATAACACAATCCCATTAAAACCTCTAGGCTCCCGACAAAGTAAAACCCCCAAACATAATAATCATATGTAGGAAGTGCTTCATTTGATCCAGTCTTAGTGCAGCCTTGACCCCTTATTCCTTCCACATAATAGAGCCTATTCCTTTCTTGATGTTAGCTCTTTTATTCAATGCTTTATTTATGACACATAGTAAAAATAATGAACCAGAATAGAAAGCTCCTAACCTTTGACCAGACTATGTATATCTATCATATGAGGGCATTTCACAATACTGCTAGTGACTCCTCTTTTTTTTTCTCAATAAAATACAGTTTTCCCATGATTAAAATATATGGTTGTTATATATTAACCTCTTCCAAGGAATTTTCACACTCATTATCTTTTGGCTTCACCCATAAGAAAAGGAGCAGAACAGCAAATGGTGTGTCACAGAAGTTGGAAAAGAGGCCTAGAAGCATAAAGCTATTTGAAGAAGTTCACCAGCAGGTAAAATATTATTCCAGGACACAGTCCAAGTCCTGCCATTTTCTAGGTGCCAATGTGCACTTGCCAGAAGGCACACTCCCAGCAGCCCCTGTTACAACTCATACCTGAACCAGTACATGTAGAAGAAAAAAGACATAGCTTAGGAAGTTAGGAAACTATACTATTCTTTCTTTTGAAAAAGATGAGATTCCTGACTCAAGCAAGATCCTGACCCTGAGCACCCCAAAGTAAGGCTTACTATTGCTGGGAGCCAAGCCACCCTGCCCTGTAGCTCTGCCAGAGGCTCACCTAAAGGTAGAGAAAAGAAAAGCACAGCAGGCAACCTGGATCTTCGTGTCTACCAGGAGTTTTCAACTCTGGGCAACATTTCATTTGGTGCTTCAGGTAATCCTAGTCACAAGAAGGTGAAACCCATACCTTAAGCTCTCAGATTTATTCACACTAAGATCAATCTCATTGCCCCTCATAATGCCCAGGATGCTGCTCCAGGCATAACCAGTCCCTAAAGTGCTTTGCCTTCACAGCAAAGAGAAAAAAAAAATGAGTAAAATTTCAGCTAAGCCTGCATCTCAGAAGCAAGCAGTCTATAAGAACCAGGGCCAGTCAGGAGCACCAGCATGGCATCTTAGCACACAGTCATTTGTTCAAGGAGTGCTCAGAAGTATTCCCTACACTTCAAGCACTTTGAGTGCATATCACTGCCAATGTGGGAATCAAATATTCCCTGTACTGTACCACCAACAAGATCAGACTTTCAAGTGATCCTTGTCTGTCTGGGAAGGTAAGTCTGTAAGGCTTGAAAAATGTACACAGCTATCCAGCTTTGAAGACACCAAGTTGTAAGTGGAGTAAGTAAGATATGGAGAAGGTAGGGAGAACCCACCAGACTTGAGAAAACTCTGGTTCATGATATACTTGGCATCCCTCATCCTAGATGGGCAAAGTTTAAGGGCACTCTAATTTGATGTACTTTAAGCCTGAGGTGGAGACTTGTGTGGCAAATTTCACTACTTTCCTCTGTTTCCTTCTCTATGTCCCTTAAACCCACTCTCATCCAGACTTACTGACCTTCTCTCAACATAGGAAAACTGGAGGCTGTTAGGAGTGTCTCAGCAAACTCAGGTAGTTTCAGAGTGAAAAATGGGCTTACTGGATTTCAACCTATAAGAGTAGGGAAATGGGAAAAGATCTTGGCATTTGCAAACTGGGAAAAAGTTTGAATGTGGGGCTGAAGATGGGCTGGAGAAATGTTATCAACAAGAAATCAGTTAGCCGGGCATGGTAGTGCATGCCTGTAATCCCAGCACCCGGGAGGCTGAGGCAGGAGGATCCCTGTGAGTTCGAGACCAGCCTGGGCTACATAGTGAGTTCCAGGTCAGTCTTAACTACACAGTGAGACCCTGTCTCAAAAAAAAAAAATCAGTTAAAAGGCTATCTTGAAAACAAGTATCGATATATCACCAAATCTCTTCATTTCATCTATTCTGAGGACCCTTATGGAATTTTTTTGATGGAACTGAAGACATTAACACTAGGAAGGAAATGCAAAAACTAGAATACAACTGAGCCACCAAGCAGGCTTCATCAGGGGCCAGACACCCACTAGAGAAACTTTACAAAAAACGGCATTCAAAATTTAGTCCTAACTTTGAGTGGTGGTGCATGCCTATCACCCAGCACCGTGGCAGCCTGAAGCAGGAGGATCGCAAGTTTAAGCCCATCCTAGGCAACTTAGTGACTTAACGGAACTGAAAAAAATAAAAAAAGACCCTGGGGATATGAGATATGGTTGGTGTGAAGGCTCTGGGTACCCCCCAGCACTAAAAAACAAAACAAAACAAAACAAAACAGTCATGACATTAGCAACAACATAATGGTTCCCCACAGCAAGCAGATGAGTAGCAATCTATAAGAACTGGAGATATCACAGAACAAAAGGAGAACTAAAAGGAACTCACCTGTTCTGGTCCCTGGAAGCAGATGCGACAGAGGGGAGTCCTCATACCACTGTCCAGGCTGCTGCCCAGTGAGTAGCAATCCTCAGCCTTCTCCTTGCAGAAGTCATCTGAAGAGGCACTGCTGAGCAGTGAGGCAGGTGGTCCTGTGGCTGGGCCACCCCAGTCATCTTCCACAGAAGGTGGCAAAGGTGGTGGAGGAGGCAGAGGAGGGGTCTCCCTGCTCACCACTTCTTGAGGGCCTCTCCAGCCTGCCCACCCCCCGGCACCCAGAGCCGGAAGGGTATTATTGTTGGCCGCCAAAATGGGGGGCTGGGGGTCACCGTGCATGGGCTGGGGCGCTGGAGGGGGGCGCCGCAGAAGGAAAACCTTCAGGTCATTGAAGAGCATGCGGCAGCGGCACTTGAGGAGACCCTGGTGGCGCAACATTTGGGGGGCTGGGGTGCACAGTCCACAACAGTACCAGCTACAGCAGCAGGAGCTCCACAACCACCAGCACAGCAGCCCACCCAGGGGCATCAGCATGTGCCCAGAGGGAGCAGAGGACCCAAGAGGGGCAGCTGGACTCTTAGCAGAGATGGGTGCGATGGGGCTTGGGGTCCGAACTGTTTCTTCGCTATGGGAGCAATCTCCTTTTTCAGGGGCTCTTCTTGCAACCTCTCCAAGCAGTAAATAAATTGCTCCAAGAACTGAGAATTGAGAATCACTGATTCTGAACTCTACCTGGAAAAGGCAAAACAAGTTTTTCTTGCTCTTGCAGCCCCACCCCAACCTCAGACTTTGCTCAAAGTGCCTCCTTTCTGCCTTTGGCCCCAGGACACTAGTAGGAGCCCGGCAATAGAAGAGGCCTTGAGGCTGAACTGTTAGAGCCTTCAGATCAAAGTCTAATTCTTTAAAGTTCCCCGCGAAAGGGTTGCTGGGTTCTTCTCAAATCCCTAGGTGGTGGTAAATCTCTTCCTTTTATATGAAAGGGTGAGAGGAAGATTCTAAATCAAAATCGGAGTGGATTGAGATGAGTTTAGAGAAAACTAGCTTGATGAAGAACTGAGGAGTGCATATATGAGAGAGAGAAAAAAGATAGTTTTTCTCAGGTAGTAGGAGACTGGTAGGGTCCAGTAGGGGGCAAAATGGGGAGGAGAGAGGGTTTGGAGAAGTTTTAATTCTCCAGGGCAGAAAACTGGGGCAATTAACCCCTAGAAGCACCACAGTTGCTTTTAAGAGAACAGTTGGGTGGAGGAGAGGAGACTGCAGGTGAAATTGAGGAAGGGGGTTGTGCTTTGCCCGTGAGGCCAAAGGGCTACGCAGAAGTGGGTGAAGCGAGTCTGGCAAATAGAGGTGGGAGAAGAGTGGGGTGGGGAGACAGAAAGGAAGAGAGAAAAAGATCGTGTATCCCTAGCAGAGCCACGTCCTTCCTGAGCATTAAGATCTTGGCTAGAGGAAGGGTGTGTGTGTGGAGAGGACAGGTGGTGGGGCAGAAAAAAAGGGTAGAGAAGAGAGGCGTGTGGGAGGAGACGGGAAAGGAATAGTTACATTATCGCAAGCCCTAGCCCACTCCTGCTGCAGTCTGTAAATCCGTGGCCCCCTCCCTGTGGTTCCATCAAAGCTCCCTTCTGGCGAGGTGCAAGAGCGAGGAAAAGGGCAGGTCCGGGCCGGCGAGTAGCCTCGCCTTCTCCTCTGCTTCCTTCTCTGGGTCGCTGTCGCCCTCCCGATCCTGCTCCGGGGCTGCCCGCGCCCGCCGAGGC